CAGCAATGGCAGAACACCTGAAACACGCTCCAGGAACAGCTGGTGGATACAAAAACTGAGCCAAACAATGTGTTTTTAAACGGATAGTTTCCCCAAAAATGAAAATTGTCATCATTTACTCAACCTCACGTTTCAAACCTGTATACCTTTCTTCATTGAATTTTCATTTTTGGGTGAACTATCCCTTTATATAATAATTCAGTATTTTGTAATTGGTATTTTAGTTTGGTTAACAAATGTTAAACATTGAAAACATATTAAGATACATTTTGGCTGTTCAAGATCAATAAAATGTGCTAAATCAGAACATGCTTCTTTTTTTCTTATGTCCACAAATAATGTGTTCTTGTTTGTGATGTACACGTGATTAAAACGTTTTACTGACGGTCAGGTCTGACTAGACCAATTTTGGACCTTTTTAGAACCTTTGTCAAGATGTGTAAACTTCAAGACTTGATTGCCTTTCACGATGTTACACAATATGTGTGTTATATATTTAAATGCAGGCTTATATACACTTAAATTATGCAGCAACACATTTAAACACACAAATGACGACGCATTTAGACGTCCAGGGACGCGCTGAAGAGACGTGGAATTCACGGCCAGATGACGTCAAAGACGTCGGTTCAACTTTCATTTTGGAACTATTTTTCAACCATGACGGGACGTGTCGGACGGACGTCTTTTCAACGGTCATTACACGTCCAAATGTTTGCTGGGTGGTCACAGTTAGCTGACTATTTCGCTGTATTGTTATTGTTTGTCCCCAGCCGCACTTCAGGTTGTTCAAACTTACCATAAAAATATGCATCTGTTAAACGCATCGCGAGTGTCTGTTTGACACAATTAATTACTTTTGGTAAAACTACTGAAATTGTGTATCTAAGACACATTTATGTATGGTGGTTCAAAATGTGTCAATTTCATGGATATCGATGAGTCAAAATTTCAAATATGTTGGCCTAGGCAATTTTCCTTTTGTTTTATGTATTCAAAGCTCTGCCATCTGTATTTGTTCAGTAGCTTTTAGTTTCATAGTTGTAGTAGTGACAGGTTTGTTTATGGTCCAACAAATACGTGATTGGGCCACATTTGATGTTCTAGCTGGGGTTACTTTGTGTTACGTCATCGCCCACTTTCATTACTCCGCTTGCGCCGGCTCTGAATAACACCCAAATTATTTCTTCTAGAAGCCTATAATTACAATATACAATCATTCTGAGCCAATATTCTAAAAATCCAACACAAAGCTAAAGTGTCCAGCAACTTTTTTGGCACAGTCCTTTACTGTGTAAAGTAAATTCTCTTTGCTTGGAAGGGATTAGCGCTGTAGGACTAATATGAGGTCAGGTTTTAGCTACCTTCAGTTAGCTAAGTCAGACCTTAGTTTCAGTAGTCATGTCAAAGCAATTACTAAATCAGCATACTATCATTTGAAAAATATTGCAAGATTTAGATGCTTTGTTTCTAGTCAAGACTTAGAGAAACTTGTGCATGCTTTCATCACCAGCAGGGTGGATTATTGTAATGGACTCCTCACTGGCCTTCCTAAAAAGACCATAAGACAGTTGCAGCTCATACAGAACGCTACTGCCAGGATTCTGAGCAGAACCAGAAAATATGAACATATCACACCAGTCCTCAGGTCTTTACACTGGCTCCCAGTTACATTTAGGATTGATTTTAAAGTATTATTACTGGTATATAAATCATTCAATGGCCTAGGACCTCAATATATTGCAGATATGCTCACTGAATATAAACCTAACAGATCACTCAGATCATTAGGATCACATCAGCTAGAAATACCAAGGGTTCGCTCTAAGCATGGTGAGTCCGCTTTTAGCTATTATGCCAGCCGCAGCTGGAACCAGCTTCCAGAAGAGATCAGATGTGCCCCTACAGTAGTCACATTCAAATCCAGACTCAAAACACATCTGTTTAGCTATGCATTTACTGAATGAGCACTGTGCCACTGTTCGTCCGACTGTTTTTACTGTACTTTATTTTATTTTTTATTCTAAACTGTTTTAATTATTCTTATTTGTTTCAATTATTTTATTTCCTCCTATGTAAAGCACTTTGAATTACCATTGTGTATGATATGTGCTATATAAATAAACTTGCCTTGCCTTGGCTTACCTGACAGGGATCAAATAGCCTGAAGAAGCAGTAAGCTTCAGTTTGAAGCTCATTTAAAGTGATAGTTCACCCCAAACAAATAGCATTCTATCTACTCACTCTTATGTTGTTCCAAACCTGTATGAATTTCTTTCTTCTGCTGAACACAAAAGAAGATATTTTGAAGAATGTCGATAACCAAACATAGGTCCAGGTATATGGAACTCAATGGGGCATTGGGCCTGTTTGGTTATCCATATTCTTCAAAATACTTATTTTGTTTTCAACAGAAGAAAGAAATTCATACAGGTTTGGAACAGCATGAGGGTGAGTAATTGATGACAGAAACTAAAGATTGATTGATTGATTGATTGATTGATTGATTGATTGATTGATTGATTGATTGGACCACCACTGCACAGGAAATATAGGCCTTGTTTACACTGCAGGTCTTAATGCCCAATTCTGATTTGTTGCCTATATCCGATTTTTTTGACCATCCGTTTACACGTTCTTTTAATTGTGACCCATATCACTTTACACTGACATACTATCTGAAACATCGAGCATGCTTAAAGGGGGTTCTTGCACAGATGGACGAACGCGAAATATGCGCGTCGGGCTTGCTCTCGTCATTAAACCGCGGATACTTAGCCTAATGCCTCAGAAAATCTGATCTGCCTGTTTACATGACAGTCGCATTGGCACACATCTGATTTATATCTGATTTATTTCCACATATGAACGAGGCCTGAAACCGATCTCGAAATATCCGAATGCATGCGTTTTTTTCCTGTTTACAAGGTCATAGAACACATCCGATCTGTGTCACATGAGCAAAAAATCGGAATTGGGTCACATTTCACTGACAGTGTAAACAAGGCCATAGAGACCGGACCTCTTGGAACTTTAATTGAATACCGCTGTAGTAGACAGCTTAAACACAAACACTTACGGCTTATGTGATACGGGTGTGCCTGTATTTCTATTACAATCTCTAATGTGACCACTATTAGATTTCATATATCATATTTATGTACTGTCAATTATCACCACACTTGCCTCCTCAGACAGCCTTACATACATCCTTTGGACTGATCAGCCAGCCTGATCTCATGAAATGCGTCTCTAGTATGCTTTGTATTTATCTTGCAATTTATACGCGAAATTTGTTTTTACGTGCATATGATACACAGTTTTAGCGTGCATATGATACGCACTTTATGGCGTGTAATACGCACGTACCCCACACCACTAATCCTACCCAAGGGGTTTACAGTGCATATCATATGCACGTAAAAACTTGCGTATAAATTGCACGATAAATACAAAGCGCACTAGAGACGCATTTCATGAGATCGGGTTGGATCAGCTGACTATGAGACTTGGTAAACTCTAACAGCTAATTTATCTATCTTAAGCACCTTTGGGTAAGAGCTGAATTCCCATAGGTAAACAGTCTGACAAAGTAAACTATATTTATGCTTACAGCAATAATTCAAACATACAGATGTTGAAAACAAAATCTAGCATTTCCCTGCCCTACATTTGACATATTAAAGTCGCACCATGAATGTAACTGTGGTAATGTATGATAAGTTTTCTTAGCAACCATAGTTTTGTGTCTTTAACCATAAATCTAAAGGGATGATCTTATTATTGGGCCAAAAGCACTGTTGCATAAATATTAAACAGGGAATATTACAGCTCCTAAAAAGCAATAAATATTAGTCCAAGCATTTAGGCTATGAAATTTAATGCTAAAACATGAAAAATACCTTTTTAATGATTTAAGGGCTATGGCTAATTGACGTTTTAATAAGGGGAATGTTATATGAGCAGTCCATCAGAATTATTCTACAACATTTCCAAAAGGCACAGACATGCACAAATCACATTTTTAAAAGACCTATTTTCATTAGACATCATTGCACACTTCATTGCACACTTCTATTGCACACTTCTAATGGGGATTTACAGACCACAATACTAATTTATTTCCACATCATTTGACAGGTTTGGTTAGTATAAGGATCTCATTGTTGGCAGACTATCAGCTCTAAAGCATACTGGATCACTACCTTTTAAAAATTCTACAGCTTCAACCACTAATATACCTATACCTATACAGAAACCGATGCCTCTAGGGTTCTTCGTGAATATTTGTTGGTTTTGGACATGTGTATTTTTTCAGAGCAAGAAATGTTAGAACTGCCACATTTCAATAGCCCTGGGTAAAATAATAAACTGGATTTGTTGTTTTTTTCAGTCAAGGAAGCAATTTAATTGATTTATGGTGGCAAGGAAAATATCTGTCTTGCGCACTGGGCTGTAAAGATTTTAACTACCATTGGACACTGAACCCTTTCAGAAGAAAATATTTTCTGAGAGTAAAGCATGAAAGGACTCCCTCCATTAAAAGATTGTTGTGGTAAAGATTTCTATCTCTAGCATCAACATCAGAACAATAATCTGATTTCTGCATCTATTTGTCTCTTTTATTTTTCGCTTCCTTCATTTCTTTCAGTATCTTTTAAAGTTGTAATTTCTATACAGACAAAGGTCAGGTTTGACCTTTTGTACAAACAAGAATAATAAAATGTGAAATCACATATAATGTGACAACGACACGGGCTAATATTAAATATAATAATGTTGTATAATAAAAAAGAATGACCTTAAGAATGAGAATGGCCTTGCAGAAAAAAATAAAAAAAGGATTCTGTTTTGGGTTTAGGGGACAGAAAATATAGTTAGCTCAATTTAAAAATGTAATAGAAGTCAATGAAAAGTCCCCACTATGATAGAAAAACAAAAGTGTTATCTCATACATTTTATTTTCCGCTTAATGCATTGCAACGAGGCACATTACTGACCTGTGACCCCTGTGGCATACGATGGCTTGCCTTCAATTTCACCTTTGATCACTTGTACACCTATCTGATATTCTGTTCCTGGGTTGAGGCCTGAAAAACACACATTCATGTTGTTCTCACTACACAGCCACTGAATTCAACATACTCTGTCTGAAGCTCAGGGAGTCAGGGACCCATGATAGTAGATGGATGTATTGCAGCAGACTGACCTACAATGGTGTGCATGGTTTTGGCCTCTTGGCTCATTGCCACATTCTCCTGTCCTCCCTGACCATCAGGGCTAGAATGGGTCAATTTGAAGTAGTCCACAGTGATCGCAGGGTTCTTCCAGTCCACCTGGATGGAGTCCTCTGTCTGGCCCACCACCTTTATTCCTTCAATACCAGAGACCTCTGAAGAGAAAGGCAGATCGGGGCAATATCTGTTATGCACAGTAAATAGCTTAAAGTGATTTTTGTTTATGTTTCACTGCGCAATATGACAGTAGCCTATAACTTTACATTGTCACTGTTACAACTTTACAACATCACTCATTTTGTTTACCAGTGGCATTGTAGTATTACCCTATTCTCTGAATGTATTTATCCATGAATAATTGTTTTCTTAGGAGAAATCAAAACAATGGGGAGTTACCAAAATGAATTTGTAATGCTATTAAAATTGTATACATTACATATAATTCATTGTTTTAGAAAATATTCATTATATAATTCATTTTTATTAATTAATAATCAGTGAAGAACGGTGGAGAACACTTATTTTTCTTAATTTAACAGTGATTCTGTAGTGACACTTTTAGGTTACAAATGATGCAAATGAATGCGAATCAATTGCCATTTCTTTCATATTTTTGAATTGATGTCTCCGGTACTCCTCTTACAAGCATCCGTCCTCGACATTCTGCCACCGGATGACAGAAATGAGTTACAGCCAAGTATTCTACCACTTCAGACTGACTTGGCCCTTCTCATCTCTGTGAAGGAAATGCTTTCAGACATTCAAACTCTTTGTTAACCAGTGACTGACAATGTCCCATGCTGACCATTCATCTTTGTCATCATATCCAGATGATCAGCACTTTCTCATGGGAGTCTAATGTGCTGTTAGAGAATGTACAACTGAACTGACCACATCAAAATGCTGTAGTGCACATCCCATTGTTACACAACTGCAAACATTCATTTCCATGAAAATGTGTTCTTGGCTATTCATTGAACTCTACAAGCTTGTAGAGTTCAATGAAAGTGCTGGCATTATGGTTAACACAAATCCCCCTATTTCTTTTGTTTACAAGGCATTGGAGACATAAAATCTATTTTAAGCTGTAAATAAATAAATAAACCCCCTAATACTGCATGATTACAAGTATCTCTGTAGCATTGTAAGCAATCATTCTTACCGGTTGTAGCCACTATCTCATCAGAATCACTGTTAATGCCCCTGATGACAGCGTACACCTGCACTATGTACGTGACTCCGGGTCTGAGGCCTGTGATTAGGTAAGAGTTTTTTGTGTTTTCCACCTGGACCTCTTTTATGGCTCCCTCGTCTCCCTTTGGATAGTAGGACAGGATGTAGTACTCGGCTCCTCTTACAGACTCCCACTCCACCAGCAGAGATACATCTGTGACTTTGATCAGACGGAGGCCTTTTGGTCCTAGAACTGAAGTATGAAACAATGTTGTCACCACTGGGAGTTTATAAGCATTCTTTTACATCAGATGACATTGGGGTCTATGCAATGGGGTCCGGTTTATTAAAAGATTTGTTCACCAAAAAATAACAGAGCGAATTAAGTCACAATTTACTGAGAATCTTCCCCCCTCTGAGACAAAAATGAGTGTAGGATTTACTTTGAAACAATTTCCACTTAGAAGTTAAAATTCACTTTTACTTGCAGGTAATTTAAAAATATATATATTTTAAAAGAATTACAAAGAAACAAAGTAGTAACAATTAGTTACTCTGACTTAAATTAAATCAAGTAGAAAGACTAAAACAGTAAACCCTACTTTACATTTTTACAGGCTCATAGTCAGTGTGCTGAACTGATGAATCCGACCATTCCGATTCATGAACAAATCATTCAGACCATTTAGATCAACCGATTCATTAAAAAGATCCGACTCAAAAGAACAACTAATTCATGAATAAGACATTGCTACTTCTCTCAAGTATACACCAAGGAGAGCTTTTCATTGAATAATTTAAGTGCATTTTGATTTGTTCATCACACAAACTGCAAAAGACTTGTACCCTGAGTCAAATGGGCCACTTTTATGGGCATTTTAGAGCTTGATAGCCCTAGTCCCCATTGTCTTTCATTATATTTAAAAGAATGGCCAAACTATTCTTTGGAAATTCTCCATTTGTGTCCCACAGAAGAAAGAAAGTCATACAAATTTGGAACGACGTGAAGGTGAGAAAATAATGACTTTGACTTTTACCCAGTTCTCTTCTTTCATTTCTTAAGCTTGTTCACATTTTTGCAGCTCATCTTGCCAAATACCAGATGATCCTGAGGTTTACTGAACATCTTAGCTGGCTATTTTTGGGAGATCTTACATTTTCACTCTGGTTACTTTGTGGTTTTAGACCTCCATCAATAAGTATGGATTTGAACAAAACTGCACATCAGTGGAGGAAGAAAAGAGGTAGGTCCCAGACCAGTAGCAATCCAGGAGCCCCAGAGTCAGACAGACTGTCAGCAGCCCAGGGAGCGAAGTTTCCATTAACACATTACCCACCGGCTTATGGGGAAAATATAAAGGAGATGGTGAATTTAAGGAAACACTGTTAGAGGGGGGAAAACATCAGGGAACTCCATGAGGGGGAGAAAAGGGTGCTGTGGAGACCGCATTACCCAGGAAAGAATGAACAGCAGGTTTGGACATTGTTCAACATGGAGAGGGGGCAGGAAGTCAAATGTTTTCCTTCAATTCTGCAGGAGCCTTTCCATCCAGTGGCAGTTAATATGGCCATTCTTGCCATTCTCTCCAGGGTTTTCCAGTAACAATTTCACCCGTAAATAATATCCCAAAAGGCCAGCAGAACTAATGAATTATCATCAGCCAGCTGGAAAGAAAGCATAAGTTCCGGAAATGCATGTTCCCAGTTCCCACTGATTGATTGTAAGGGATAACCAAAGCCATCAAATTACAATTATAACACAGTTCTGTTTGGACTTGGACACACAAGCATAAATCAACAGTGGTGGTTCTTCTAGCCAGAGCAGCATCAGCCTGATGCTTAAAGTACCTTTAAATAACCATAAATGCCATTTTAATTGCATTTTATTGTGATCTGTAATATATATACATTTTTTGGATGTCACAATCATATACATTTATTGTGAAATTGGGCAGTCGAGGCCTAATGGTTAGAAAGTCAAACTGGTAACCTGAAGGTTGTGGGTTCAATACTCAATATCCCATTCGCTCCCAGAGCGCCACAGCAATTTGGCTGCCCACTGCTCCGTGTGTGTGTGTGTGTCCACGGTTTGCAGTGTGTGTGTGTTCTCTACGCACTGCTCTTAATGTGTATACACTAGCTTGGATGGGTTACCATACTTGACCTTCACTTCACTTTCACTTTAATTTTTTTATAACAAAACTTTGTTATAATAAGACTTTTTACGCAGTGTCTAGCCTGTGGCAGCAGCAGATGTTTTCATATAAGGTAAATCTAAATCTAATCAGCACTGTTGTTGATTTGCCATTAAGCTATCCACCAAAACCCACTAGACTCATTGTGGTCAGAACAAAGTTGCCACGCTGATCCTTTAGATGATCGACCACTTTTACGATTAACGTAGAACAGAGTTTCCGCTAGAAAAAAATGGTGCCGGTCAAGTGACTTTTAACGGTTACAACGGTAGTGTATATCTTACCAAAGTTGTTTATGTTCCTAAGTGTGTTCCCTGAAGTGTCCCTTAGGAAGCTTCTTAACACGCTGCCTCTTACGTTCGACGTTACAAAGGGGCTGTCCCAAGTGAAAGTGCTCAATTAGTTGGCATCGATTGCTCAGGAATCGATTTTCCACTTCACGCGAAGGTGCATTATGCGTTAAGAAAGACAACACGTTCTATGCAAATGAAGCATTCCTCAAATTATTCCAGTAACATTTATTTTAACATAAGACTATATTTTACTATATTTAACATAAGACTATATTTTAGTTATCAGTAAAATATAGACTATTAATTAAATTATCAAATTGTCAGTATTATGTTCACACGATATGTTGTGACGGGTAGACGAACGTATCCCTCGCTAATCATCCACCCTCCTTATCCCGTTGTGCCACTTGTGCCGCTTCTTGACATGGGTTTAATGACTTCTAAAAATTATGTTATACACTTTTATATTAATGGTAAGGTACTTTACAATCAGAATTGATTGGCAAGCAGCTGCAGTTACTTCTGTTTAATGCGGTATTGATTGCCATTGGTTAAAGGCTTAAGGGCTTAAAGCAAAATTCCACCGCGTTAGCCTGGCAAGCGCAGGTCTGAGAAGGTCCAGCAGCTCCATAATGAGTTGTCTTGGGAGGCGAAATTTTTTTAATATAGCCACGTCAGGCAAAATGTCAAAAGGGCTTAAGTTTTGCCGAATAAAAAAGTTGACACGTTGGATCGCTGCCAAAGTTGGTCGCTTACTGGACACCACCATGCTTACCCATTTATAGATCTTAGCCATTTAGAGCCAAATTGTTTGCCAGATTTTAATTATCAAAAGTGATTGCCAATTTAAACGCTTTAATGACATTACGAAATAGCCTAGGCTAATTACCACCATATTAGTTCTGATACCAAATAAAGTCAACTTCATTAATAGGCCTGTATCCATTGCGAACATATTTTATTATTAGTCTTAAAATGTCCATAACATAAAATCATTGTTGAGCCACAACATAGTAGTTTGACTTGTACTGCGCTGCGCTGATTTCTAAAGACTGTGGCGGCGACTAGCGTCTTGAGCTCAAACAGCGCTAAGAGAGAGAGCTTACGAATGGTCCAGACCAACCTTACGAAAGTGTGACTTACAGAAGATATACTTAGCGTAAGAACGTGTCAGGAACCGTGCCATAAAGTTAAGAGAGAGGTTAAGGAATAGGTTAAGAACTACTTAGCGATAAGAACATTTTGGGGAACCGGGCCCTGTTCTGTGTGCTGCTGTTTGCACTTTGCATGTTAAAATAAACCCTTTGATAAATAATACAATTTTTTATTTTTATTTAATGCCAATTCAATACGAAATGACTGGATACATTTCGTTGGAATCAGATATGAGGACTTCGCAGGCTGTGGAAAAATGCAATCCTCCATAGCCACGGAGCGCTGTCATGACGGTGAGGGCATCACGTCTCAGGCTTACGGCATCGATAAGAGGAGCGGTGTCCGCAGACTCTTGTAAAGTGGCAAATAATCCTTCTGATCGGTCTGTGTATTTTTGCTTTATACATTTTAGGCTTATTCTCAAATTCAGACTGTGTTAGGGGGGGGGGGATTATTAGGCCATTTTAATCGGACAATTTGACCAGAGAGATTTAATTTTGTCTGACATTTCATTTTTTTTCCCGGCCAATGTCCGGTAATTACCGAACAACGGAAACCCTGACGTAGAATGGTGTTTTCATACAGGTCTAATCTATGTGGGTTTGTAATCGCTTCCACATAATCCAGTCAGTAGGCCTGCAACTCAAATTTCTTTATTTATACAGTACACTACCGTTCAAATAATCAGCAAGCACGACTTAAATTGATCAATTCTTCTTTTAAATAAATGCTGTTCTTTTGAACTTTCTATTAATCAAAAAATCCTCAAAAAACCATTCACAAAAATATTAAGTAGCACAACTGTTTTCAACATCAATAATAATAAGAAATATTTCTTTATCCTCAAATAAGCATATTATAATGATTTTTGTTGGATCATGTGACACTGAAGACTGGAGTATTGGCTTTAAATTGTAATAATTTTTCACAATGTTTTTTTTGTTGGCATTTTTGTATTTTGATCAAATAAATGCAGCCTTGGTGAGCATAAAACACTTCTTTAAAGAAAACATGTCATATTCACACATTTCTGTTTACTCCATTCTACCAGACGCATGATATGATGGGAATTTAGATGTATAAAAATTATTTTGGACATTGTTTTGTGTATTAAAACAACTAGCATTCAAACCCTAATAAATGCCTCTTAATATAATAACCCCTATATGTTTTATTGCTTCTGGTGTTCATGGTATAACTTTTAAAGCATCATCCAAGAATCCTCGTAAGATTTTACAAGTCAGGTATCTCATATATGCACGAACGAGTGTGGTTTATTAACGATGGCAGTTCCCTATAGGCTTAGATATGGAGAATATTTTCAGACAAGTTATGGACAGCTGAAACCCTCAAGTTATATTCCAAAGCCAATTAGTGTCAAGATCATGAGAATGTAACAGCTAAATTGATCTGTTTGACTAGTTTGCAGTGCTTGCTTTTAACTCCCTACTATTATCATTCTTGGAGTAAATTACACTGTGCCCTATAACTCCCCTAAGAAGCCATTTCAGAAGTGTTAACACAGATGATGTGTCACACCCCAAGGCTCTGGCCATGGCTAATATTTTTTGAAACTCAGCTCATCTATCCATGCATTCCAACTTTGAGGCACTCCACTTTTATCTGAAGGTCTGAGGGCGAAGCGCATGGAACAGAAAAGGATTGATGAAAAACAATTCCCTTGTGCTAATGAGGCCTATCTTTTACCTTTTCTTGCAGCAGGAGACTGAAAAAGAGAGTTAATACGAGCAAATGATCTACCTCAAAGTGTTCAATTAACTCTTATATAAGCATTTATTGGAAAAGTATGGGAGAAGCTGTAAATTGTAAAGTTTGCACAATGTCGAAGCTTGAACTAGAAAAGTTGCCCCTTACTTTGTAATCTTGAAGAATCCTCTCAAATAAAGCATATACTATACATACATAGCCCAAGTATGAATTTTAGTACTCAACGTTTCTGATTATATGCTTTTAAAAAGAAATGTATTTATTTGCATTGATCTAACTCATGTGTGGTGCTTGTTGGTTCAACTCAAAAAGATGAGTATGTAGATTTTTTTATCAGAAAAACTTAATTGAGATGCATTATTTGTGTTGTAAGTTGCCAGAACTTAAGAATAGTAAGTAAGCCAAACAAAATACAATAATCAAGTACATATACAGCATAATTTACTTAATCTAAGATTTTTTTTACATGTAGGTAAATATAGCAAATAGCATGACCAGTGTAGTCCAAATTCTGAATAAACGACTTATGAACAGGTTCTTTTTTAGTGAATCACGCAGGTAATCAGGGTATTCTGACTAGAAAGAGAATGACTCTTATTAGTCTGTTCACTAAGTGAAAATAGCAGTATTTTCTTGCACTAAGTGTAAATAGTAGTTAAACGCTCTTTATATGTATAGTCCAAATAGTGGCAGATACTATTTTCTCCTCAGTGTATTGTAGTATATTATTTAACAGTATGCATTATAACAACATATTCAGTGTATGACTGTATTTATTAAATCATAAATAGATGCTGGTTTATTAGGACAGTATCCCTAAAGCCCTCCTCTACAACCTACACCTAACCCTATCCGTTAAATGATGTTTTATAAACAAGGTTCGGGAGGAGCACGTTCAAATAAATCATTCCAATCAACTCGTCACCAAACTATTACATGTCTACCCTATCAGCACGAGAGGAAGCATATATAAATATCCACTGTCAACTCACCTAACATTCCTTGACAGTTTCAGCATCCCTCCACCACCCCGACTCCTCACTCCTGGCTCATTCTTCCACAGTCAGGAACGGGGGAGTACTATGGGTTCGGGCCGCATACCGAGCCCGGAGCCCTCTCCTCGGACAGCACACCAAATATGCCTTTATTCTATCTGACTTATTTGTAAGTGTGAACTCGTGAAACACTTTATTCCCCTTTATTTCCAATTTTCAAATCTTTTCTTAATTTGTATTTAAAATGAATGCCTCTTCGAGCTGATATGTGGCAGATTCAAACTCGCGTCGGTCGCATCAAAAGCTAATGCCACCCACCTCACTCTACACACCACTGCTCCTGTTATCAGCAGGATTTCTATTGTGATTTTGCCTGGCTCAGTCAGACAATAGTGGGCGGAGTTAGTGTAAATAGCCTCTGCCTACAAGGTGGGACAATCAAATAATATATATATTTCTTCTGTAAACCAACTTCACATTTTCACACTGAAGACAATCTTACCCGTGGAGCAGTCGATTCCAAAGAATCCCTCATCGCAGATGCACTGTCCATCCACGCAGCGTCCATTACCTATGCAGTCATTCGGACAGGTCGCGACACTGCAGTCTTCTCCTGAGAATCCACTAAAGCACACACATTTGCCATCCACACAGTGGCCTTTATCTTTGCAGTCGTTGGGGCAGGTGAGCTGGCTGCAGTCATGGCCGGTGTAGCCTTCATAGCAAACGCAGCGTCCGTCAACACAGCGGCCATTATCATTGCATTCATCAGGGCAGGATGAGATGGAGCAGTCTGGACCCTCCCAGCCTGGGTTACACTTACAACTGCAAGAGTCATGCTGGTACGTGCCATGCCCACTGCAGCTGGTGTCCACACCTAGCAGAGGAGAATACTCTTAACATATTGACGATATGAAGTGGTATTACTACCAGTGCATTTAAATCAGAAGTGGAGAATGGAGCAGAGAGTAACAAAATAGAGAGAATATTTAATGTATAGGCTAATTGCAACAATGAAATTGATTTTGAATTAAATCTACTGAATTGCAATTCAAAGAAATACAGCAGGCAATGGCATTCTGGGAAATTAAGTTATTTGACCTTGGTCCATAAATCTATGGCTGCATCCGAAAACGCATCCTTCCTCCCCGAATTTATGGCTATAGGGCCTGTTTACACGTGGTCATTTCATGCATTTTTACTGATCGAATAGGTATCTGATATGTTAAAACGGTTACACTTGCCCACAAAATTGTGTCTCCACAAAACGGATATAAATCGGATCTTCAATTCCCGCGCTACATGCAAATTTCTATGCAGTTCACGTCAGCGAAAGTAGCCTAATTGATATGAGCTGCATTTTATTAATCGTCAGCTAATTTCAAGATAATACAAAGAGGAGAGAGAGCGGCATCAACACTGGTAAGATCAATATCTCACTATTTTTAATGAAGATGATTGTGTTTTGAGCGTCTGCGACTTACTTTCTGTTTTATTTGTGGCAGTTTGAGCGTTGGCTCTTTGAGATTCATCTGTGGTGATGCGTGTTGCGGTAGCGCCGTCATATAGCCTATAACATGTTGTTGTTTTTTTACATTTTGGGAGGAGTAAATTTTACACATGTGGTTTCAACAACCAGATGCACTTGTCCAGTTTCGTCTGGGCCCAGACAGACCACCTCCTGACATGGTTTGAGAGATCGGATTTTAACCATCTCGAAAGCGTTTCGGAGGGCATTTACAACTGGTCTTTTCACGATCGGATAGCTATCTAATCATCAGAGAGAACGCATGAAATGACCAGGTGTAAACAGGCCCATAAAAGAGTAGGGAAAAAGTACGCAGATGACCTACTTCTTCTGGCGTGATTCTGAAGTGTGCACGGGATTTGTGAATGGAAGTGAAGCGACGTAACTGACGCTGGTTGGTCACATGATAATGACAACATGACGAATGTAGTTACGTCCAGATTATATACTAACTAATGGAAAAGCTATTAAGACTGTTCATTTGTGTACTGTCTTCAAAATCGTTGATTGATACAAAGGTCTTGTATTTTTGTGATTTATTTTTGTGTGTGTGTGTGTGTGTGTGTGTGTGTGTGTGTGTGTGTGTGTGTGTGTGTGTGTGTGTGTGTGTGTGTGTGTGTGTGTGTGTGTGTGTGTGTGTGTGTGTGTGTGTGTTCTTTGCTCCCCTGGCTATAAAATGTATGTTGTATTGTTTTGTTGTTTAAAGCAATTTAAAAAAATGTATTTTTTGTCGTTTAAAGAATTAACAAATTATATTCATACTACATTGGGGTTGTATAAAGTTTAATGGTACTGCCTTCAAAAATTCTAAATTCAAATTTGAAAATTCAATGCATTTTAACTTTAAGATTCTGCATTCCAAATTGAAAATGACATACATCTCTGCTGTTATTTGTAGTAGTATTATTTTTAATCGAAGGTGCCAGAGTCAAGTTCCTGATCATTCTGGTCTAATGTAACTGATCACATCCAAAGTTGGTCTATAGCCTATTACAGTAACAGATGTATACTGTATGTAATTAGAAAGAAAGGCTGGGGTGTCTCATGTGATAAGGGACACATACAATTCATTTTGCACATTTTTCATTATGCACTAAACTTTCAACTATGCACTGCTAACTGAAAAAAATTGCCATACATTTTTAGTCAATCCAAATAGCTTGATCTTAAGTTTCTTAAAATCAGGGAATAATCTCCTAGGTTAGTATACCTGACCCTCCTCTGCAGCAGCCCTGAGCGCATTGGCCTTTTAGGTACGTGACCTCCTCCTCCAGGCCATTTACACGGTACAACAGGGCTTTGAAATCCTCAGAGTCAGCACATCCACAACCAGCCGACTGTAGCCGTATGTTGTGCTTGAAGACAATGTCATTCTCTCCATCCATTGTGACTAACTGTCCTTCTGAGGCCTGGTCCTGGGAAAGTTGTCCCACTTGAGAACTCTGCTTACAACCAGAGTCAATCCTGTAGACATGGCTGAATGTGACTTCTTTCTCTGCTGGAAGCACCTCCTCGGACAGCACAAGTTGGGACACCGTAAAGAGCGTCCCCAGAAGAAAGAGACCACTCTTCAGCCGGTTGAATCTAACAATCATAGTTTCTAAAAGAAAGCAAAAAGACATGAACTCTTGGAGAATCTTATGATGATTGTGTGGTTGAATTTACAAGCATTTCTTTCTCAAAATATCAAACTTTCCTTATGGTTTGCGGTCTCACCTTCCAGTAAGGAGCTTGATTTGCATGCAACACACATGAAAATCAATGCTCAAGACATCACATTATGTTTAATGGAGCGAAATCTGTTTTACAAGGCCAGTGTTATAGATGTCTGATCCTACTGGGCAGACCTTATGTTTGCCAAGCACATTCCATCAAAACCATTAATTGCACATCCACAACCACAAGGGCTTCTGGGAGCAGAGAACACTTCAAACTAAATGATGTAATCCCCCATGATAATTATGTCATTCATACCTTTTAATACATCTCTGCAAAGTAGGATGTTTTACAAAAGAGAAAAACCATGCTTCAAAAGAGCCACCATGGGACTTGTTTGCTTTAAAACTAAAATATGAATTAAAATAACTTTCTTCTCCCGAGCACCGGCGGAAAGCAGGGCCCCAGCATACCTAAGTTAATGTAATTCATTAACAGTAAGTATGTGAATCGCGTGTGGTCTGGGAATCTTGATGTGGAAAAAAGGGTTTTCTCTTTATACTATCCTAAGTATACTTTAGTACTCTACTAAGTTAATTATAAGTAAATGTATACGGCAGATCTTGATAAATTACAGCATTCTCTATAAATAAATCTGATATAAAACTATTTAAAAATGACATAATATAATTAAAACATAAAAAAATCAGTTATTTAAATAACTTTTTTAAAAAATATGGTAAAAAATATAAATCAAAAATATTATTTACATGCGTCTGATTGTTGTAGATAGACAGCATATAGAACTTGAGTAAAAAAAAATCATAAATACCCGTAGAAGATGAGACATATCTAGCCATTATGCAATGCAAAGGCAAGGGCCCCTGTGAGCCTACAGGACCTTAAATGACAGCCATCTACTCTGCTTTTACAGCCAGATCGTTTCACTGACACTGCATAACCTGTGACAACAACCGATTAATATCTATATGCACTTTTCCTTTATGGATTTGAATTATGTCCTTTTATCAATCACAACACTGTAATAAACAGAAAATGACAAATGGCTTAAAAATTCAGCACCACGTTTTTTGAATTTGTCATTTATTCATTCCACACCTTGTTTTGGAACATTAAGAGGATCTTTGTAAATGTGGCGCTTAAATATAAACACGGATCAACACACATCAAAGTCCAGAAGCAGATGTGGAATGGCAGAAATGCTGAAATGAGAAGACAGAGCACTCCCTCAGGACCCAGATAGAAATGTGAACAGAAGCACAGAACAATCTGGAACTCATGCCGTACGGATCAACCAACTGAGAAGAAAACAGTGCTGGCGGCTGTTGTTTTTGACAGATTCTCTTTTGCAGATGTGGACAGCTATTCCATTGCATTAGTCTGGGAAGACTTCTAACGGCCATTTTGTGTTCATCAATTTCCAAATAATAACCTTGAAAAAACAAGTAAAGCAATATGAATCATTCACTAAATACAAAATGTCTTGTCCAGCCAATATATTCTTGTCAATGCAACCCAACTGTATATGTCCAATAGTAGACCTCAATACAAATAATAGCGACTTCAAAAACAACATCAATAGCACAAACAAAATGTCCACAGAGCAAAATAATTATCATATAACAGTAACCACATAACAAATCAGCAACACAGTTCATATGAAATAGTTTGTTACGGTCTGTTGAGCAATTTGTGACTATTTAGAGGAATAATGTTGGTTTAACATGTGTTTTTATGTAGATTCAAAGCCATTGACATCTGTGACTCATACTGGAACAAAGTATTTCACTCTGCGTTATCCCTCCTAATTGATATATCAAAATAACAATACTCGACTCACTGGGTAATATTACTTAACACTGAACTCAAACAGGCAGGAGAGCCTCTCCATCATCTGAAGGACTCCCTGATGCTAATTAGATTGGATGCTGCAGTATTGAAGCATGGAGTGGTGAGGTCCATGACCCACATCACAGGCCCAGACACCACACACATGCTAGAGCTGCAAGGCCCTTTGAGGGTCTCGTTTATTGCTTTCTGTCAGAGGCTTTCATTTCTTGTGCGCTGTTTCTTTTTGCTCTTTTATTTATCTTGGAGAGGACACAGGAAAAGCCTGCCAACTTTCTTCTTCCACAGGGGATGTTTGAGTCTGCATGCGCATACATAAACACACTAAAGAAGATGCTCTGTTTCTATCACAGGAACTGAACAGACAATACAAATTGCACTGCAAAAACCACAAAATACTTTTTGCCCACATTTTGCATGTAACTGGCCAATGCATGATTATATATATATATACATGGTGCAACTGGGGCTCTGCTTCAGATGCAGAGGAACAGACAGTTAAAACTAGAAAAATATAATAATACTAATAATGGTTATAATAATTCAAAAGATATGCCTTATTTTATGCTTTTTTTGTGAACATCAAGAATCTCCTTGGGTTTTACAAGTTGATGTCCAATTGGACACAGTAATGTTTGAAAATGTATTTTCTATACCCAGTGAACAATTCAGCAAGCCGTGCCCAATGAAATCCCTGCTACAGCAATAGTGGAAAGGATGCTTAACAGAGCCTGGTTCAAGACATAGAAGAGATGCATGCAGCTAAGTGGCCGTTGGCTGTTTTCTGTTGGATCTCGACACCAAGTCAAAACATAATCTTTCAATGCTATGACTACAAACAGACTGTGAACAGCATAAATCACATTCTGAGAGGGGAATAAATTGAGTGAGGTAGAAGGCGGGAAAACGGAGAGCCAGACTGTGCCGTGCCATGCCCTCTCCTCTCCTGAGACACATTAGGAAGAAGACAAAGACAGTCTGTTCCACTGCATCTGAAGCGGAGCCCCAGTTGCACCATTAGGAAGGAGATTCAGGGCTTACTGATGCATAGACAAAAGAGGCGGAGAGGTGAGGAGTGCAGACTGTGAGCCGCAAACATGCAGCACTAGTGATTTTCCCCTTTGCTCTTCAGCTGATGAGAGCTGAAAGCAATTAAGCTTAAGACTAGGTACAGACTCATTTCCTCTCCTCAGTATGAACCACTGGGGAATGAAACCACAGCAGCCTTAGAGGATCTTTCAGATGCCCAAAACTGATTTTGTTAGCCTGTAATGTGTAATGTGCGGGCAGCATATAGTAAAACTCCAGTGGGTTGCGTGCAACATCTGCTGTTCATCTGATCTGGGCTTCTGATAATACCTGAAGCCAACACAGTAGCCTTTCGTCCTAATCTGGCAGACGAGGGGGATGTTGCTTAGATCTTGTGTAAAAGTGGGGTCCAAATAGGTTAAGTACAACGCATATGCCGCAGAAAAAAAAAAAAAACATACAGATGCAACGAGCAGGAAATGCAGCCTTATATGAAGACCATATTTTTTCTGTTATGGCAAGTAGGAAGTAAATAAAAATAAATAAAAATAGTAATTTGTTTGGGGAAAAAACAATTATTTATAACTATTAAAAAAGGCTTTAATTTACAAACCGTGCTGCCAAGCACCTGACTTCAAACACGTTTTTCCACTAGGCATTGTCCATTGGGACACATTATCTTGTCGAGACTGGGACACCCATTGCTGTACAAGATTTATTTATCAACTAGTCATTTTAAGGCTTTCATTGAGCACTATTTATTGAAATGAAGCTGTTTGTACTTTTAAACCAGAGATTATTGTCCCAAATGACAAAATATGAATCAATGTCAATGCTTTCAGTATATTTATCTAAAAAGGATAAATTTGGCAATGGTTCTTTACCAAGCATGGACATTTAGCAATTACAAAAATAGAAAATAATTTTTTTTTTATTTAGATTGCACTATATTAGTTCTCTGTTTTTAATCTGATCTGACTATTAAATATAAATTAATTAATGTGATTCAGACATTTAAAAAAAAAAGTTTTTAACTTGAATAAAACTATAGGTCATTTAGATTTGATCATAAAGTACATTTTAGATTATCTGTCAAAACATGTTTACAGTGTAGATTAAATATTCAAGAATTGGGAAATTCTGTTATAATTAGAAGAACTACGAAGCAATTACTAATAAAATTAAAGTATTTCTTTCAAAATCACTGTATGATATCTACCCTCACAAACACCATAACATAATTTGATGTCAATAAAATAGAACATTTTTATGGCTGTAAAAAAAAAAGTGAGAAGTTCATGCACATGCAATAATGAAGCTGCAGATGCCTTACCCCAGAATATTCTCTGCCACAGTAATATCCCTGCTCACTGACTGACGCCTATTACTGCAAGCACCTGTTTACAAGCTCAGACTAGGCATTCAGGGCCCTCCTGTCCAGCAATGTCCCGGCAAGTCCTTCAGCTCTCTGCCTTCAAACTGTTTAAATGTCCTCGTTGCAGCACTGAGCCAATGGCCAGCCTGGGTGTGGCTACCTCCAAAACTTAACCATAGAGGACAGAACTGAATGAGGGAGGTAATGTTGAACATTGTCTGGAACTTATTTCATTAAATATAAACTTAACAAGGGCGCTCCACGCATACCACCATCCCTCGCAGGTACATTTTGATGAGCGGTTTTTATTTCAGAGCTTTTCTTACAGTAGCAGTGCTAATCAATCTATTTTCCAGGAATTGTGATATATAGCTTCTGACAGGCATTTGTAGAGCCAAATTCAAAAGTCCTGAGCTTAAATACAGCACCAAACTACACGGTGCCATAGAGCAATATTTTTATGTGTTCTTTCCATTTGTGCACAAATTTTTTCCTCTAGATTCCAAAACTTGTATAACTTCATAAATGGAAATTGATTCCTAATCTTATTTACAGCTTTTGGTTTTGTGCCGTTTATAAAAAAATGTTCAACGCTAAGCAATAAGCATGTAGTCCTACAACAAAATGTACACAAATGTACATTCAAATGAATAAACTTCAGCATAACAGCCCTAACAAAAACATAAGACTTTGTTAAAGATCTTCATATCTGCTCTAAAAAGCATTAATACATAAACAATAAATTATAACAAATTAATTTGATTGGAGAAACTCCACACATATTTTTCTGTCAGCCTATAATCAAGATTTTAAGTGGAACGGAACAGCAATTATCAGAAGTCATCAGTAAAGTTGTTTGGCTATAATTTCCCAGGCATCTGTTGATCTCAGGGTGTTGTGTTACACTGAGGTGAAATGCTTGGGCTGAAACTGGAGAGCAGGCCAGGTGTAATGTTTTTTAAAGAGAAGCAGGGGTCCGGCTTTTTACATAATGTAGTCGTATATTATTCCTCAGACAGTATAGCTTCCTCATGGAACACTTTCAAAGGATGTTGTCATTGAAAAAAGGCACAATTATATGCCTTAAAATATTCCCTAGTCCTACAGCAGATATGCTCAATGTTTAATTTGTTAAGGGCTAAACATAGAGCCTGAACACTATTAAAAAAAATCTTTGGCACACCTGATTGTCTCCATAAATATTTGGATACTTTTACATGTGGTTGGAATATGTAGGGAATAAGAACAGGGAGAAAGTGTTCTGTAGTCAGGAAATGTCCAGCTGCATGCTGAAAAAAGTCATGCTAGTTACAGTACCTCTCACTCAGCAGTGATTATCTGAGTAAGTGATTGTGTCCGTGTCTATGTCTTTAATTACCCCTGAAAAACAGTAAACACTGTTACTACCGCTTTTTAATTACATGCCATTTTGCTTTTTGGGTGAATGATTTACAGACTGCAGTCCTTTGAATAAAAAAGGCAGACTTAAGTCAAGGTAAGATTTAAGTCTGTATTTAGATACTTACACAAAATCTATGTCCCCCTTAATGCAATATTTCATAAAAATTTCATAGTTTGCTTTTTTGATTGATTGATTGATTTTGACGATTAGATTTGAAGGGATAGTTATCCAAATAATAAATACTGTCATTGTGTACTCACCATCATCACTCTGCACTCTAAAAAATGCTGGGTTGTTTCAACCCAAATTTGGGTCAAATATGGACAAACCCAAATGTTGGGTTAAAAATGTCATTTAAAATTTTAACCCAACTTCAACTTTCACTTTCAACTGTACATTTTTAATTACATTTTTAACCCAACATTTGGGTTTGTCCATATTTGACCCAACTTTGGGTTGAAACAACCCAGCATTTTTAGAGTGTGACTGACTTTCTTCTGTGGAATGTAATATTTTAAGTATTCAAACACAAGGGTAAGTGAATGATCCGTTTTAATTTTTAATTTTAGAAAACTTCAAACAAACAAAACAGCAACAACAAATGAGCCAAGTTAGAAAAATATTTAGTGGTCTTATAAGGGTCTTAACCATTTTAATCACAAATCTCTGGTCAAGAAATTAGCAAGGATTGCACAAATACTGTAGACAAAGTAGCATGGAATAGCCTTCCTCAACTTGCAGACAGCTTTTACAGGAAGAAGAGTCAGTGGAACAAAGTTAATGGCTTCAAAGAGTTCATGAGTAGTTGAAAAATGTTTCATTAATGAGTTTAATGTGAGACCCAATATTCACTATAGGGTTCAAATCTGGACTCTGACCAGACCAAAACATGAGCCTGATGGACTTGTTCTCAAGTCACTTCTTGGTTGTCTTTGAAACTTGGGCAGGCGCATTGTCTTGTTGAAAAATAACATCAGATCATTCCTCTTTAGATAACAACTTTTCATTGATGGGAAGCAAGCCATTCTGCAATATTCTCCTGTACTCCAAAGCATTAAATGACTTTTCACAGTGAAGTAATAGCTCCCTACCAGCGGCTAAAAAGGCTCCCCACACACAATCATAGCTCTTCCTCCATGCGTCACTGTCGAAATGCATTTAATATTATATGTATTACCAGATTCTTGAAGACTCTGAAGCATCACCATGTTTTCACATGTTTTTCATGTCAGCACAGAGTTTCACTGTGATTCATCACTCCACACACAACTTGTTTTAAGTGCGTTTGCTTAAATTTTGCTAATTTGACCAATAATGTGTGGTTAACACAAAAGCTTTTTTTGCATGTAACTGGCTAAATATTTTCTAAATAAAAGTATTGCACCCTTGCTAAATAAAAGTTTTAATTTCTTCTTCTTTTTTTTTAAAGAAAGAAAATTACTGACCAAAAAAAAAAAAGACGAGTATACTAAAATACATTTTTTGAAGTGGCTAATCTGGCTATATTAATTTACCACGTACATACCAAAAGTATTGCAGCCTTGCTAAATAAAAGTTTTAATTTCTTTCTTTTTTTTAAAGAAAGAAAATTACTGACCAAAAAAAAATTGACGAGTAAAATAGTTTTTTTTTGAAGTGGCTATATTAATTTACCACGTACATACCAATGAAGTGGCTATATGAATTTTTGAAGTGGCTATATTAATATACATACCAAAAGTATTGCACCCTTGATAAATAAAAGTTTTAATTTCTTTCTTTTTTTTAAAGAAAGAAAATTACTGACCAAAGAAAAATTGACGAGTATACTAAAATAAATTTTTTGAAGTGGCTATATTAATTTACCACGTACATATGCATTAGAATGATATACGTGTGTAAGTCAAGCTCTGGGTACCGCATGATTTACATGTTTCCAGAGAGCTCTAAATCATTTACCCTTTGAGCGATACACATGTTTGAGGTCCCCCCTGAAACATCCTCAGATATATCAAACCAGTTCCCTTTTGAATTATTGAATTATGTTCCAGGTTTTCAACCCTAGTATTGAGATGATACCCACAAAGGAAATATGACTTTCATCTGTCACTCATTTTTCACCATTGGCCCTCTCTCTCTCTCTGTTTGTTTGAGAAGAGGATCTGTGTGATTAATGTGTTTGGCCACCAGTGTTGTGTGTACAAGAATGCAGCAGAAATGTGGCGTGGCGTGAAGCAGACTTATGGCTTTTACCATGCCTTTTATGGGGCAGAGGCTCAGCAAGAGTTTGTGCTTGAAGGAAACAGGGATATATCTCAATAAAGACTACGTGATTAACAAAAAAGAATGGTGGAGGGAGGAAAAAATGTTGATTGCTATGCTGGAGGTTTATGATGATCACAATTACTAAGCAATAACCTGTAGCTATAAAAACATAAACACAATTTATAAGCAGACTACATGTTAGACAAACTCAGAGGTGTACATTTTGTTCCACAACCCATCTCTCTTCTGTTGAAAACTAAACTTAATACAGCGTATTTGTTTTGAAGTCTACTATAGAGGTGCAGAGACTTGAGGCTGCAAAGACAAGCTGCAAGGAAATCTATCAAAGAAAATTAAATCTCTGTACTTAAACATATTTAAATGGAATGCTTCTGGATTTTATTAGACTGGATTTGAAGGTCAACCCCACCATAAGAGAACTAAGAGGGAAAAAGACATTTAAATTAAAGCCATAAGGTCTCAAGCTCTGCAAATAAACCTTCTACCAACTTATACGTGTGAGACACATATCCAATATTCTATATCACACTGTCAACAGTAGGGGATATGTAATCCATTCATCTATCTGCCTGTCTCCAAAGCGGGGAACATAACAAATCTTTCCAAGGAAGCTCCAAGGAACCGAATGGGGTGTGCTCCTATATTGTTGTGCAATTCTTTACTCACTGAACCGAGACATCGTTAGCATTAACGATGGGAGAAAATGTGATCCTACTAATAACGATTTGCTCTTCAAAAGTTGACTGATGGCCTTAATCGCACAAACACACTTAAGAATGATTGTTGTTGTAACTCAAAGCAGGAATATGTATGGCAATAAACATACTAGCATGCAGGTGACCTTTAAGTTCAGCACAAAAGGCATTCTTCACATTCATGCCATCTCACTGAATCAGACCTATGTGAGGCTGATTTATTTTAAATCCATTGCAGGACTCTTCGGGACAGCATGTTCCTAACCTGAAAAATATAAAAGAGCTTCATTGCTCTTGACAGCTTTTCACTTCCTAAAATGAATACAGATGTAACGTAAATGCAAGACATTAAATGCAAACATTAACTAAATCAATCAATCAATCAATCAACAAGTAATAAAGACTTTAAAAGTAGACACCATATAATAAGAGAATCTGAATGTTTTGTATAATTAGTAGGTTAACCTTAATATCACAATATTCTTTACCCTTTGACAAATGTATCCATTATAGTTGATTGAGCAGTAGTTTGACAGACCAAAAGTAACTTAAATGCATCATACCTATTGGAAAGTTGAGCTGAGCTCAGAGCAGCTAAACAATAGAAAGGTTTAAAGGCACAGTATGCAAGTTCCCACAGAGGCCGCTTATTCAAAAGGATATAAGAAGGAAAAACGACAGTAAAGGGCGAGAGGGGAACAGGACATTTTATGTTGCTGTTTTTATTATGCTTATATGCGGC